CTGACAGGCCGGCTTTTTTTCGAATTTGTCGAACGTTGATTTCAAATGTCAAGCAAAACAAATGGCTTATATAGTCAAACTGGGGTAAGTCAAAGTACTGCCCGAATCCACCGTGCACACATATGCTTGACCGTTTCTTCTTTTTTTTTTGCCATGCATCTTCCAGGAATGGTACATGGTCAGCTGCAAATCCTACTTCAGCTAGCCTATTACCCGTATTATCTGAAAACCAAACCATTTAGTCTTCCCAGACCTAGCAAATCAAGTGTTCCTTCGAGAAAGAGTTTTCTAAGGTAGAGCTTGCTCGGAAAAACGAACCACTGGCTTGCAGCGAGAGTTGACTCCCTCAAGCTCAGGTCATCGAGTGCATTTTTAAAACTGAAAAGGGTCGGATACAAGGAGTCATCCCAGAACGCAACTAATGTTACAAACCACAACTTTACTTTTTATGCAAAAAAATACTTATTCAAATTTATCCCTACAATAAGTTAAATAAATAGTTCCTGCAGCATGTATAAACACAGACCTAGATTAGTGGGGCAATTAGCGATTCTCGATACTCAAATGAATGGACGCTTATAAAAATAAAGAGCTCCAAATAAGTACACAAATTAAAGGAAGAAATTTAAACTCCAAATACATAGCAGGTATGATTGAACGAGGATGCAGAGCAGAATATCGAGGATCTCGGTGCAGAATAGAGAGAATCGCCGGTGGTACAAACAACGAAGAAGTGATCACCTTCTAGGTACAAGGCGTTTACCAAATTGAATTTGGATTTTGCTGGATCGGATGCCATGTTCTGAAAGAAAAGCTCCGGGTATTTACACAGTGAGAGGTTATAATCTGGTCAAGATGATAACAAGGTATTCAAGCCTCCGTATAATCCGATCAGGAGAAATTGGAGATGTTAACGAATAGATAAACAATTTTTCCGAGTTGAGAGCGTTATACCACTACGATGTGGTGGGATGAGCCATGCATCTTTCTTATTTTATATTCTGTCACCTCGTCGGGATAAGCACAGTTTACCCAAAATAGATCGGTTGACTGATTGAAAGACTCTTCTAGCTATGGCTGGCAGCTATGTGGTCCTAAAAAGTATGGCCTGACAACAAACGTCGCCTTTGAGTTGTAATCCGTTTTATTTCCGTAACCAAGGACGATTCTGAGCTCAACTAAGACTTCTGAATACTTTTTATCATCTGCTAGATACATTTAATGGATTCAATGGTTGGAAAGCTTGGACTTGTAATCAGCTCAACGGTTCATACTTCGAGCCAAAAAATAAGTGCTTGGCACACACTACCTTCCTTTGCCACTGGGCTCTTAAGGGATTTCGTTTGGGAATAACATGATTTCTTCGAATGCTGAAGGGCTGGAAAGAACCTTCAAGAAACACAACCTTTCGAATGATCCTTTTCAATTCCGGACTGTTGCAGAGCTTGTCACTGTGTTCTGCATCAAAACGCTCCCTTTCCATGTCTTCAGTTGATCTGAACAAAATGAATGTTTCTACTGAGAATTTTTATTCATGTAGTCCAGGCAACTATATAGAAGCCTTTGTCTTGGTAGATTTGGAAGCCTTACTATTATCAACTATATAAAGCCCCCCCCCCCTTTTATTTTTTATAGGGTCTTCATAGAAATGCGAGGTTTTCAGCAAGCAGAAGCCACAAACTGACCTCTTCTTCCGTCCACACCCACCACAGCAACCTCCTCCTCCACCACCACCTCCGAAGAAAAGACTTTCTGTGGTTATAGCCATTGCCAGGATCAAAGAAAGACACAACGTATAGGAAAAAGCCATTTCTAAATCAGCTGTTATTCTATATTCAAAAAAAGTAAGCTAAAAGACTCATCAACTCGAACACAGTGATCAATCTGGAGCTGCTAGATGCCACTATCGGAGAAGCCGAAGATAAAGTCAAGATAGGAGGATCGAAGGTGAAGTCAAACTCGTTGATTTGTGCGCTTCAAAAATAGGATCATCAAAGTCTTCAGATATGAGTACTAGAGAAATCGGATCTAAATCGAGGACAACTGTTCAACCCGGCACAGGACAATCCCCTTAGCCACGCGGGAAAAGCGATAAAGTTGAGCCTTTTTTGAAGTATAATCAGGTTTAACTTGGCGGTGCTGCTAACAAAACAAAGAGCTGCAGCTTTCATCTGATGTAGAGCACAATAAAGAAGGAAGAAAAAACTGTCACGACATGCTGAACAGCTGTAAAGACCAGAACAAGCCTCTCTCTCCTCCCTTTTGTACAGTCGGTGGCTCAAGAGGGAATAAACACCTTACACGCCCACCAAAGTAGGGGGAACACTGGTTGGGAAGTTTTTGCCACAAAAGCGGCAGAGAGAAGTTTTTTGGCATTCAACAATGGCCATTCTGGCTCATACAATAAAAACTTGTGGTTACCACCCGATGGTCGAGTCAGTGCTTTTATCCTCGGGAATATTGGAATGGAAAATTCAGAACGAATCAAATGGGACTGGCTGAAGACTTGGTGATACAGACCGATGCACTGACCATGCTGACTGACCAAACTCCGTTGGTTTGATATTTATATGGAATTGTTGTGGGCGTACCCTTACTGCGGTAGTTAAGGAACCGCTATTGAGGCCGACTCGTCGCAAAGATTCATTTCTGAATAGTCACGACTATGACGTGCTAATTCCGCGATTTCAGCGCAGTGGCCATACGATCTGCTCCGGTCTTGGACTTTGAAACACTAAATGGCGAAGACGAACCGGTTCGCCTGGATTAGGGTTTATCCAGAATCTTTCAAAATTAAAGCCAGTGTCTGGCTTGTAGTACAGGCGTTTATAAGCTTTACGTAGGAGTACTCTTCACAGAATTGTCTGCTAATCCGGGGTTTTTGTCCGTCTCGACAGCACAGGCTTCCTTTCCAGCAATTCACGTCTGCGAAGAGGCCATCTCTGGTTGACATTCATTTTCAGTGATTTTTCTTGGTTTTTTTCCGCTCACTTTCATCAGCCTTAACAGTCCGGATGTTACAGAATTAAACTGCTCCTAGCTACTCATATGAACTATTTTCTGGGTCCATGATGATCCGTGATCATGATTTCCTGTTCCAGGGATCAAGTAATTTTCAGGTGAGCCCAATATTGTCTTAGGAGGCATGGGCTATCAGATCTGTGCAACTGGGCTAGCTGCGGTACCATTTGCTCCCATGTAGTCAGGACATAGACATCCATGAATAGATACGTAGGTGTGAAGTTTGAGGTACTGTCAGAAAGGACTATGGGACTGTCTCATCATTGGCTTATCCCATCTGCGGTGATCAAACACCATACGGTCAACCCTACGATCTGAGCGATCAAATACCGTACCGAATTAACCCGCTATTCGATCCCTCGGCAATTGAACCGGATTTGAAACGAGGACAGAAGTTCTGCTATGAATATCCACCTTCTCCGCGGGTCCCCGATTTAGACTCATTACTGCACCCACTGAATTTTGGAAGAGAGTTGGGTACATAGCCCACTCTATGAAGGTTTACCTTAATTTATACAATTTTGGTACGGTTGTTGTAAAAAGAGCGTGGATGCCTCACGCGCTTCGATTTTAAAGCATTTATCAATTTTGCTCTGCAGTTTTGGGCAGATTCATCGCACGGCTTTTTGATGAAGCGTTTCCCCATCACCCACCCGAGCAAGAGTAGTCAAATCATGGTTTCACAACTATCTAAGATTGCTTGTAAAGTACAGTACACTGAGGAATTTCCCTTAACAAAATATTGGAATTTTTAGAGCAAAATTCGGAATTTTTTGCTGTTGGCAAGTCAAACACGCTAGGGCGAGATCTAACATCGTTTGTGCAGTTATCGAATCACCTAAAGTGCCATGATTCACGTGAGGAACCTACATTCTGGGGATGACCCTATCCTTGCGTCCTTTTTGATCCATTTCGTGTCTCCAAGCGTAAAAGTGATTCCCCAAACGATTTGCTATTCTCGATCAAAGATCAGACTACTTGCAAAAGAGAATTTTGGTCATTTTATTGATATGGCGGTGATCCTCCGTCTTTACTTTCCCGTCCTACCGGAGTATAACGACCACAAGAGCAAGAGATCAATCACAAAGTGGTTTTGAGCTGACCTATTCTTTCTGCCTTCCTCGGTGCTACGTAAAATCCAGGGCTCATATAACAAAACAGTTAGAAAGCACAATTCTTTATTGCTACAAAAAAATCAAATCATTCAAATCAATAATATTGATTTACAAAACACATGCAGTAACTGCAATTCATAATAATGTCTCGTAGGCGCTTACATGGGGAGCTTGAGCTTTATTTGGGGACAATACTACTTTTGGTGGTCGTCAAAAAAATCAAATCATTCAAATCAATAATATTGATTTACAAAACACATGCAGTAACTGCAATTCATAATAATGTCTCGTAGGCGCTTACATGGGGAGCTTGAGCTTTATTTGGGGACAATACTACTTTTGGTGGTCGTCCTTCTTGGACTATGAGACATTCACTTGAGCTTTTACCAGGAACCTGAAATATGAAAGGTAGTTGAAGATAAGAAAAGTTCTATATTTTAGCATGATTTATTCGCCTCTTCTCTCTTTCTTTGAACATTACTACCTCGTTTTTTTTGCAAATTCACTCGCTTTTTTCGAAAGGAAGTGAGATTGCGTTTAACCTTTCAGCTGACTGTTTGATTTTGTGCGAAAAAGGATACACAGAGGATTAAACTGCATAAGAACGACCTGGACACCGCCGTTTTTAGGGCCTCTTTATGCCTGATCTCACGGTTCAGTTTCACCAGTGCGTTTTCGAAAGCAGTAAAAGGCTCTAAAAGATGCAACCTTTGGACATATCGAGAAATCCTGAAGGTGAGGTTCAGTTCGATCTCGATAAGCAGTACGAGATCAGGAGCTACGACCATGGAAAGTGTGTATTCAATTCATTCCGATCGACTTGCAGAGATGCATAAAGCGAGGTTACCAGTTACATTTTCGACGAATCATAAGTATTACTCGGTAGACGTGGCTCGAATCCCGGAATTACTACGTCTTCAGGACAATAAAGCCTCCATTTCTCTAGAGTCAGCACTTGATGCTAGACTCGCCTGGGTATCCACTGTTTTT